CTCTCACGCTACAATCTAAAGTCCATGAACAACATGAACACATGGACAACACGAATAGGCTTTACCAATACAGCCTTCATATGCTTTGGGTGCTCAGGAGCTGCTTCAGCATTTGGTCCGAAGAGATTGCCACTCGCCTCTTCGTCTCAATAATAAGACCAAAGCTACAGTATGTCTCTCTCGCGTATGGCCCTATCACCCGGGGCGAGGTAGAAAAGCTTGAGCGAGTGCAGCATGTAGCCACCAGGCTGATTCCCAACTGACGAGGTGTACCGTACGAAGACCGGTGTAAGAAACTAGGGCTGTACACCCTAGCTTATCGTCGAGTGAGGGTTGACCTCATCATGACGCACACCAAGCAGCACACGAGGACACCGGTACAAGCTTGTCGTACCGGATTTGAAGAGGATCACTTGCCAACTCTGTTTCGAACGCAAGTTGGTGAACGTATGGAACGACCTGTCGTAACACGTAGTTGAGGCAAAGTCAGTGTCGGAATTTAAGAAATTCCTGGACAAACACTGCCGACATAAAATATATCGAGAGCATCAAAACATAATGCGTTTATGTCCCTGAGTGACATTAGATGCAGCTACACAGAGAAATCTCTACTTGCTGCTTCCAACCCGTAATCAGTAAATCTTGGACTGGTAACAATTCGCGTGTTTATATCTCAGACTACTATGCCTTCGTATCCAATGATAAGACAAGAAGAAGTGTGGTACGCTAACGGGGGATAAGTTGTGATGGTGCTGGAACATAAGCATTCACGTATTCATCAAACACACAATATAAGCAGGTCAAAGGGACACCCACATGCATGTAGTACATTGCCCCACAACGTTTGCTTCCATCCATGCTGAAGATTATATTCAGCACCAGCAAACACTAGTTTCTATAATTGCGACGTAAACGTATCAGGAAGATGAACGCGGACCGAGTGTTTCCCATACGGAAAGAAGCCATCACTCTAACAGCGCCAGTATGAGAAACGCTGGTCCAAGATCAGAGGGTAGTCTATTGAGGTTGTGCGCCTACAAAAATAAGCGAAACAAGAACCGATTGCTAGACAAGAAGAAACAATTTACATTCTGTAAGATATAGCATTCCATTCGCCCTGATCGCCCACAGTTCACAGCGAGGTGAACACTGTGTAGACCGCAAGTGAGTAAGGATAAACTACCTGACAAACTCCCGTGGTGGAGCTGTATGCTATCGGGCGCATCCCCAAGTTGCGGATCGGGGAATGCCTTCCTTGTGGAGGTAACTGCGAATAAGTCTCATTTGTTTTGCAGGCGAGACGAATAAATAGTCGCGGAAAATTAACGTCAGCGTCTCAGAGCGTGGGGAGTTCTGGACTGATTACTTGGTTCTCCATTAAATACCATTACCGCTCGTACGGCGCTGTGTCAAAGCCAATGTGACCGGCTACATGGGCCCCCTGACCACCCACTCCTGTAACTGGGGATGAGTATCCAACGGAGGCGGATGAATGACCTCACTGGCCGCCGGCTTCTCTGTGGACTGCTTCCGAACACAAAGAAGGCGAATGAGTCATGTGGCTGTCAACGGTCTTGGTGAATCACCCGCTGCCTTGCGGGTCAGAACTTTAGAGCGGTCTTTAGATCGGAGTGGGGTCCCTTAAGTCAATCCTCTTCCTCGGCCTGGACAACCGGGAAGCTCAATGTCCACATAGCACTTTGCTTCCATTCCTCTGGCTCACTCTCTCCTTTTTGTTATGGTTACTCATGTGCTGTGGCACTTTGTCAAATGTTTATTGGGCAAGTGTTGCATGCATATATATATATATATATATATATATATATATATATATATATACCAAACAAACTAACCCAACCGGATAAATTGACTCATCGATATTGCATGACGGCTAAGGTCCGATAGAGAATCTGCAACTGGTATTTAGGAAGTGCAGAACCCAAGAACCTAGCGCCCCGCTACAGTATAGCGTACAATAAGACTAGATCCGATCGGAAGAGGCCAAACTAATACGTTCCTACGAAGACGATTGCGCAGGCTCAACAACTATGGTTAGACCACAAAGTACCTATTGGCTCTGGTATTATGTGTGAAACGTAACAAGCATTTCTTCTTCTTAATGACCATAGGCAGCCACTATTGTCATTCGTTGATGACAAAGTACAGCAAATAGACTAGGTGCAGTTGCATAAGACCTCCGTCAGTCATCCGAGATGCTATCCCACTGCCATCGTCGAGGATGCAGGCCTGGCGCCATCCACCGTACTCAGGTGACTTCAATCCGCATTTAGCGAGAAATAGCTCAAGATCTAGTTGCTCATCATGCCATTAGCTTATTCTAAGCTTGATAGCACATTTCTTCCCTTCGGTTAATTGTGCCAACCTACGGTCCGCAAAACCACCTATGTATGTTCGACAGCTGACTCATGTCAGCCCTGTGACAAGCTCTACCCGACCAGGGAAGTGAAACTCATCATCACCGCCTAAAGTAAGCCTCCGGTTTCAGAAGGTCCTGAAAACAACCGGTTGAATAAAATGATGTGCATTGAACCCAATCATGAAAAGAGGACATAATATCCCAGAACCTTGCAGCCAAGCCATGGTGTAATTGGTACACTTCCTGCAGAATAGCTTGGATGAAGTCTGCCTCTACATAAAACGATCGAGCTCAGGGCTGCGAACCGTGGTAACGCAGGCAAACTATAACGGGTTTTATAACAAAGCTTCGGCACTTAACTCAACTCAAGGTTAATTTGTAAATTCGATTGTTTGATGTTTGTACATAGTAACGCCACCCAGTCCAACTGGTAGGCCTGGATCTAGCAGCAAATACTGCTATACAGTTAATAGTTCAGATAAGATGTTGAGTGAAACGGAACGTAGATTACTGAAGGATTCGACACTTACTATAAATCTACGATAAAAATAAAAAAAAGTTATTCCTAATGCTGAAACCACAGTAACGAGAATGACCACCTCGAATGCTGAGAAGATTCGTGCAGAACATGTAAACAATATCAAATTTTAGCAGCCAGAGGAGTAGAATCTTGCACCAGTGGAACGTGATGCAGTAATGGCCCTAAAAGATCCAAATATTGTGGTCACAAAATCCGATAAGAGCAAGACCGCAATGACAATGGACGAGTCGGATTATTAAGAGAGAGCAGGTACAGAGTCACGCAAGTCAGAGAGAGATGAGAAGCACTTATCAATCATTGTGCCGCAATACGAAACAACTTTTGGTGACCGGGTTTCGGTGCGACGGAGGGTCATTGAAGCGAGTGGAGACTTTGTTGAATGTGGTAGTAACGAAATCAATTGCGAGATAACATCATGGTCTATTGCATCTCGTTGTTAGCTTTTCCATTCGTGTTTGCTCTCTCGAAACGCTGATTGTGTCGCTGCGACGTTTCCGCTCACACTTCTCACGTTGTTGCCGGGTATTTTTGTGCTTATGATGACGAGGAGATTGCGACATCTGGATCAAATGTATATCCGCGCTCGAAGTATAGCTGGAGAGCCGAAACTGTTGAACAAGCAAAGGAAGCTAGAAGTTGTCCAGTCAAGTCCTGAGCAAAACGTCGAGAAAATAAGCGAAGGGTGGTGCATCGTTTTCAGTTAGATGGGGACCTTAAGAGAGACAACACCAGCGATGTGACCGAGGAGACGGTGGTGCTGCTGCATTCGGCTGCAAACTTTGTACTCGGTGAAAAGTGACTAAAAAACATCAACTTTTACACCATATTATTCCCTGTACCTTTTGCTCAGTTTCCCCATTGTTCCACTTACTATGGTGTGTTGAGTCATGGCGCCTAAACTCACCGAAAGTTGCTGTGCACATCGGTAAAACACGAGTGGCATTTGAAAACCCGTCTGTCAGGGAGGTCAGAGAGGATGTTAGCCCCTCCTCGACTGATGGTAACATAACACCAAAACCTGACTTTTGTCGCTGTGTGGAGCAGTAACATGGCCGCCAGAGTGTGCTGAAAACAGCTAACAATCGACCATCTTTAATAACCGGTGGCTGCAAAACATCTGATGTTAGACAAAAGGATTTCTGCCGCCGCGCTCTATCACCGTCTGTGCACAAACAGTCAATGTTGAATAAAATGCCCCTCGCATACCTGCAATGAACGAGTACGACAGCTAACAGGAAGGAGTTCCGGTGGCTTGTAGACGACACGAGTCTCCCCTAAGGGCCGGTATTGGGAGTGATCAAATCGGCGGCGAGGCAACATAACCGACATGACATCCAGGAATTGGAATTCTTGTCTCTAGCCAATGTCGTATCCGTTGAAAGCTACATGAATTCTGGTCGCTCGTCAGCTGGGGCATTGTAGAAAAAGGCAACAGCTGTACGCCGGTACGCAGTACTGACACGCAACCATCACCAGTCACATGTGGGCTAAGGATACTGTGAGGGTCGTCCTGTCCCCTAGGCAGGCTCGAACCCGCGCCTTCGGATTACAAGGCAGGCTTGGGATCCTTAATGCCACGGACCCACGGAGGTATTGTATGCGCTAATTAACGATTTCCTATTTCCTATTAGTTTCCCCACCATGGCAACGCCAGTCACATTGGGGGATTTACAGCACCTCAGTGCTGAACCAATCGGGTGGGGACGGGAAAATGTTGAACTGAGTGAGACAAGTTTAAGAATCAGTAGGCATGCAGCCATCGTCAATCATATTGCAGATATGTCAAATGCACCAGTTTGATGGTGACAGAACTCAAAACGGGACCAATGTGTTCTTTATCCCAGACGAGAATATAGCAGGCAGTGGAAGATATGGAAGCAAGCCAAGAAGCATGCGAAAATGGACAACCGTACTGGTTACTGTATTTGTCCAAGCACCGCACAAACACACACACACACACATTATACACGTTAGCTAGAGGTGGGAAACACCTCAGCTACAGTGCACCAGCAATCTAACGAACCAATTAGTATGTTGTACAGGAAAATAAACGGATTACAGTCATAATTGGATTCAGCTCACTTTCTTGACACGGAGTCAAGTCCCGAGAGAGGAAGGACTCCCAAATATCCACGACCCGCCGACTATTGCGTAGTCCGTTTTCTCTCATGTATCGCAGCTCTTTCAGTGCAGCTGTAGCACAAAGAAAATGATTCAAAGATAGGAAAGCACGCAAGTGCCGACAACACGAAAATAAAGGATAATGAAAAAACATCTCGTCTTTATTCACATTAATTCTGTAGCACTAGTAAACCGTGCATGAGATTTCTGTAGAAAGAGGTTATATGCAATGAGAAAGGCAGATTAAAAAGGCTTTGAAAGATATTGGCGACAACCGCCTTTGCGTACAAAAAAGAACGCAAGAGTGGAGTTTGGGAGATAAGTGAGATGCATCCGTGTAAGGCCGAGTGGCACACTTCAAGACAGCTTACTTAAATTCCAAGTAGCTTCTCAATTGTAATGTTAAAATTCAATTTCCCAGTTGATATGTGTGGACTAGTGCCTGATCGCAGTTTCTGTGTAGCCGAGCGATAGTCCGATTACATTACATCATCTAGTTATAAACACAGAATCGTCAGATGGTTCTCTGTGCTTCATTTGAGGGTGAATATACTCGTCCTGGGATATGTGCACTTAGAGTTATCGGTAATGCGTCCCATCAGCCTATTGTGCGCACACGATAGTCAACGCACTGTAACTCAACCGAGCTGAGTGTGATAGCAATATGGAATCTCTCTCACCACGCTTTGTCCCATTGTGAGTAGAAATATGCTAGCTAGCGACAGTGGATTTGTTATTCCGTTAAGTATGATGTCGACTCTGATTTCAAGAAGGTGAGGCAAGTGCACATTCGGTTGATGAAACTGTTGGTGAATCGGTTTTCCATAATTGGCCCCTCCGGGGATCGGCAACATGTTCACCTCAGAACCAGAAACATCAGTGAGCTTTAGCGTGATATCTTGGTGAGAGTAACCTACAGTGCTTGCAGGACGGATAAGAAATCGTCTTACTCATAGAATTTTACAGTCGAAACAGTGAGAATATGGTTCAAAGCTAATGTGGGGATGTGGGGCAGTAGAACATGCCCATGGCACCAATGTTGGACTTTCCGCCAAACCCCGACCTCGAAGTTTTAAAAACATTGTCAAAAAGATAAAAATCACCATCGAGGACACCATATTTGGTCCGCCGTACCATTCCAATACCTCTGCTTTGTCAAGCGTGAAACCGCAGATTTAATCAACCATACTGGATGGATAAAACGCAGTTGAGTGGATCCGGCTCGCTTCAGTTACACGAATAGTTCCGATGTACGTCATCAGTTGAGGCGCAGTGCTGATTCTCACGCTGAACTCCCAATGCAGTGCCCAGGAAATGAACAATATGTTTGAATAACTTGCCAACACAATGCACAGCCAAGTAATGATGCAGTAACCGGAGTGAATGTGCGGCCCGGTTCGCGTGGTCACTTCGAACTCCACCGCGATAATCTAAAGGTGGCTCAGTCAAGTGAAATAAGTCACCACATGATCGCTGTTACTGCGATGTTCAGCAACTGTGCTGTGTCGTTTTCGCTAAAACATTGTTTTTCATCCTGTCTGCTATAGATATGTCAGTTTCGTAGCGAGATCTTGATAAGTGTCCTGGCTAAACCACATCCAAGGTCACCGAGGCTATACTAGTCCGCATATTTGTTGTTATTAGCCAAACATATTCGGGGTAATTTGAAGCCAGTTACCAAAACCGTTTTGGTAAAACTATGCCCTGTCAGCAGAATATAAAGATCCAAGATCCACTCCAGAAACGTAGGATCGTTGCCTGAGGATGCGCCCAATGATTTCCGCGTATCCTTTTCCCTGTTTTTCCATGCAAAAAATGTGCATTTTGATAGCACGATTTTAGTCCAGATGCAGTTGATCGTTGAGTACAAGATGGAAGCAGCAAGTAGAGATGGCTCTGTATAGTTGGATATCAAATTCCTCAGGTATACAGACCAATTGGACCGGCGATCATTCCCGATATTTCAGGTTGGCCAAATGTTTGTCCAGGAGTTTTTGAATTCCGACACCAACTTTGCTTCCACTACGTGCGGCGGAAAGTTGTGTCACATAATCACTGCTCTGCGTTTGAAGTTAGATTTAGTGAGCAACCCGCCCCAAATCCGACACTACAACTTTGTACCGGTGTCGTTGGTGTGAGTATATGGAGCAGCGGCCTCAACATGGAGTAATCACCGAGATGTAATATCCGGTGCGTCATTATGAGGTTAATCCGTACTCATCGATAAGACAGATTGTAGTCTCAGTTCGTTGCACCGGTCTTCGTACGGCACACCACATAAAGTGAAGATGAGCCAGATCTTAACATCTTATACCCACGCAATCCTTTGTACCTCGCCCAGGGTAATAGGCAGTTGAACCGTACTCTAGTGTTGGTCGGATGATTGAGACGAAGAGACGAGTGGCGACTGTCTCGGGCCGAGTGCTGAAGCTGCGTTTGAACTCCCAAATCACAACATAAAATGCGGAAAATATACTTAGCCTAAAATAAAAAGCTTATCGTGGATCGACAGTACAGATAAGGAAAAACTAGTAGGGAAGATTCAGATGTGGTAAAGTTCCTCAAGACAAAAGACGAAAAATTGTCAACAAGTTTCAATACGGCCAGAGCGATACGCAGCATTAATTGTATGGATGGCTCTGGTTATAGTACTGAGCAAGGGATCTTTCTAAATGTTTCCTTGGTACCAGAAACGGTGTGATTGTGTTATTTGCTCACATTAATTTGTTTCTTGTTAGCCTCATACACCATTACAACATTTACTCGAGATGGGACTGGACGTTAACGTGATGCGATGGTTTGCGTAGCTCCTTGACCCAAAGAGCAAAGCTGGGTGACACTCTCCAAGTGCCTTCAGTACCACTCATACCAAGTAGATCAAAAGTTAGGGGTCAGACTAACTCAGTCTCACAATCCTCTTGAAAAGTTAGAGTGAGGTAGATGGCCCTCTTCTCTTAAAACCTTTAAATAGGAGACAAAATGTTTTCGGGTTATATGCTCATAGCTCGATTGGCGTAGAGCACGAGCGAAAGGTATTGCCTCTGACGGTGGGAGGTCATCGTCCGATGTGCAGTGGTTTGCCGACGCCGGCCTCAAGCGAGGAAGCCCCTGGTCAAACTGGTACAAACACATCAACTCCCATCTACGTGTGGCCGTCGTCGCAGGTGCATAGCACTCCAACGTCAAAAAAGGTTAATTGTTTCAAATCCTCAAAGGTCGTGCATAACAGCCCTTAAACAGATCCCAATCGGTCCCTACAATTACACTCCCTAGCTGGACTTGCTCTCCAGTGTCTTGTGAGTCCGGCTATTGAGCCAAAAGGTGTGGGTAGGGGCGCCTTGTTGTGGATCAAGCTATTGAATCAAAGTCTACAGATAGGGCAGCTCGAGAAAAACCCCTCTCTCGAAACGGACAGTCGGAGGGTAAGGTCTGCTCTCTCAATCTTGTCAATATCCCCACTTCTTTTTCCATCCCCTCTCAACTCTCTTCTCCGTCCACTGAGCAAAAGACTGCCGCTAAACTCACAGCTACCGCCTTCCATAGATGCAGCTAGTCCACCGAACCAAGAGTCTCATTTCACATTGGTTCTTTTAACGTCCGCCCACTGGATCAGATCGGCCAACAGGCAACACTAACTCACACTATTCACTCTCTGCATATTGATGAGTACTGTGTCCCCGAAATACGCAACAAGATAACAGCGGTGTGACGAATCTTAGATTCCCAGCCCACGAATGTGCCGACAATAAATACATACTTCGCATCTCGGGCAGTACTGAGTCCATGGGTCAAGGTAATTACAGTGTCGGCACCTCCCGTAGCAAATATGCTATGCGTTATCTACTCGACTAGATACCAGTAAACAGCCGTCACATATGTCATACGATTTCGAACTTCTATTGGAGTTAATAAGCATGGCCTCCGTTTATGCCCCTACTGTCTACATCGACTGGAAAGATGTTAAACAAATGCACCAGAGCAAACTACACCTAGGATGAGCTGGCACAACCACCTCTCGTGCCATTCTATAACGCAATTTCCTATGCGGTTTACTCCTTACAAACTTAATTCATATCAACTGTTTTCTGATCTAAAACCGAAAGTAAAATTATTTACTGTTATGGGGCCAGGAACTGTCTTCGTAATCCTCCCCTCAAATTGACTAATTCGTAATATTTTTTCTGCGATTCTGTTCGTTGCATTTGCTTTGTAATGCCAAGCATTTCCCTTGCTTTTCCGGAGTTAACAGTCCAGAAACGTATACCGGATTTCAGTGATGGCAAGAACGAATTCTCCGTTTAACTTTTTGTCTGTGGACAACTCGTGCATTTATTTGTCTTCGGCCGTCACGAAGCACAACTTGATCGTATGATCGGCTCGATCCATTTTTACGCTGATGTAAAACATATCTGCTTATTTTTGCTATTAACGATATTATACGTATTGTACTCAATTTTTCTTATTTTACATTCTTTCTTATTTTATTGCTGGCGACGACAGGGATGATCTCCTGAGGTGGCGGTGTAAAAGACTTTACCTATGCAAGGCACATTGCCACAAATGAACTGGCGTATAAAAAGGGTCATTATTGTATGATCCGCATGACGGACTGGGCTGAGGCTTCATTGCCCATAATACATGAATAAAAACAGCCCTAAAAAGAACACAACATATGATAAAATGGTGATGGCTTATATGTTACTTTGCCACACCGGCATGGGGTCAGGTTTAGCATGAAAGTGCGGGTGAAACCTTTCGAGGAAATACCTTGCATGGAAACAGGTCCCCTAAGGACGGTTCCACGGCTGGCTGCATTACTATACCTGAACAGTTGTTTAAATCTGTATCTGTCAGTGTCCCCGGCTTTCCAATTTCTTTAATACCTTAAACCTGCTAATTACTTTAATATCCGTGTTGGATCCATTGTATAAAGCGTGAACGATTGTTTATTCTACGCGATCCTGCTGTACACATTGATCAGACGGCATAGTTGGACTGTGTCTCGCATCGCCGAGGAACATATCAGTCATTTATTTATAAAAGATGATTTCTATCCGCATATTTCGTCTCTT